TGAGTGGGTTTAGAATGGCAGTTTTATAGCCCCCATGCTTCAGTTTAACTGGCTGGGAGATAAATCTGCCTGTCTCGGTTGAGATTTAGCATAGAACCCGGTGGCACTTTGAAGAGAGAGAGAGAGAGAGAGAGAAGGAGAGAAAAAAGACATTTATTATTACGTCTTGATGGGATTTCTGGGTGTTCTCGTTGCGACAGACTTCGCAACTTTCCCCTTTTTCGGAAACGGTTTCAAGTCCGAATGGACATTTGTAAAAACCCAACAGGAAGTAGAACGACAGGCCTATTCCCGCACATGATTTCTGCAAACTTGGAGTTTCACAAGGTCTTTTTCCTTCTCTGCCAATTACTACTGATGCCTCACCAAACTGCAATTCACAGGATTCCTTAGCATTGAGCCCTGGCGGTTTAAGCGGGGTCGAACTGCATTAATTCCACAGTGTAGATGCACCCCAGAGACCCCTAAGCCAAAATCCTAATGGTAGCCCTGACCAAAGTAGTCTATTGGCTCAACTGGGTTTACTATGAGTCAGGCCCGTAGCCAGGATTTTGATTGCGGGGGGGGGGGCTGAGTTTGATTGGGGGGGGCTGAGTCTGAGTGAAAGAGGGTCTACCCTAGCAAACCTTTTGTATTGTTACCCCAATACCCCCATGCATATGGGATGCATTGAGCATGGTGATCAGATCATGATATGACTAAACATAACAGTTTAAATAATGTACGAGTAAGGCCCTTTCGCAGACCACCATGAGAAATTCGGGGGGGGGGAGGGTCTGAAGCCCCCCCCCCCGCTACATGCCTGCTATGAGTTGACTCAGCCTTCCAAGAATGGATGCAATGGGTTTACTTTAGCTAACAGGCAAAGAGCGCCAGAGGAAATGCATTTTTGTGCTTCACTTTTTTGTGCCGAAAGGACTTCTCAGAGGAGTTCTAATAATAATTCTAATAATAATAATAATAATAATAATAATAATAATAACAATAATAAGACTTGCAAAATACAAAAACCAGCATAGTGATCTTGCTTGCTGTGTACTAATCTTGTTATGTATCTAATAATAATAATAATAATAATAATAATAATAATAATAATAATAATAACACATAATAATAATATATCACACAGTTCTAGACGCTTGGGAAGTGTTCGACTTGTGATTTTGTGATATGAAATCCAGCATATAGATCTCATTTGCTGTGACATACTTTGTTTTTGTGTCAGTAAAATAATAATAATAATAATAATAATAATAATAATAATAATAATAATAATAAAACAATAACAACAACAATAAGACTTGGAAAATACAAAAGCCAGCATAGTGACCTTGCTTGCTGTGTACTAATCTTGTTATGTAAATAATAATAATAATAATAATAATAATAATAATAATAATAAAAAAAATCACACAGTCCTAGACGCTTGGGAAGTGTTCGACTTGTGATTTTGTGATATGAAATTCAGCATATAGATCTCATTTGCTGTGATAAACTGTGTTTTTATGTCAGAATAATAATCATAATCATAATCATAATAATTGCAATCCCAGATGACAGTAGGATTGAAGAGAAACAACTGGAAAAGTTGACACGATATGAGGATTTAAAGATCGAACTGCAACGACTCTGACACAAGCCAGTCAAGGTGGTCCCAGTGGTGATAGGCACACTGGGTATAGTGCCTAAAGACCTTGGCCTGCACTTAAACACAATCGGCGCTGACAAAATTACCATCTGCCAGCTGCAGAAGGCCACCTTACTGGGATCTGCACGCGTTATTCGCCGATACATCACATAGTCCTAGACATTTGGGAAGTGTGATCCAATACAACAGCCAGCAGAGTGTCTGCTTTGGACTCATCTTGTTGTGTTGCTAATAATAATAACAACAACAATAATATAAATTTATTGGTTACACGCTTCTCCTCAAGGCAGGGGTCAGAGTGCAACATAATTAAAATACACACACACACGCACACACATACATAAAGCTTGTGACTATTAAAATAGTATATTAAAAATAGAGAACTAAAACTAAAACCCATCCAAAGAATGTAAACCAATAAATGTCCCTGCAAAATCCACAGTTCAAAATGGACTATGTTCGTCATGATTATAATGTTTTAATTAACGTATTAAATGTGGTTATTGATTCAGTGTGACAGTGTTACCCAATGTATTTTGCTTTCACTTTTATTTCTATCTAAACTTGGAACTCTCGCCTTGGGAGAGTTGGGAGAGAGACATGATATAACAAGTAAAGGTTTTCCCTGACATTAAGTCCAGTCTCCCATTTCTAAGCTGAAGAGCCGCCAGCCGAATTGTCCATAGACACCTCCTAAGTCATGTGGCCAGCAGAAGCGGTACCTTTTCGAACAGATAGGTTGGCAGAAGCTGGGGCTAACAGCAGGAGCTCACCCCACTGCAGGATTTGAACTGCCAACCTTTAGTTAGCAAGTTCAGCAGCTCAGCGGTTTAACCCCTGCTTTGAAGTGGAATATATGGCAGTGTGGAGTCAGATAACCCAGTTCAAAGCCGATATTGTGGGATTTCCTGGCTTGATATTCTGGCATATAGGGCTGTGTGGAAGGGCCCTGAACTGCTTTGTTTGTCTTTGCAGCCTTATGCCAGGATCTATACCAAAATGGACAGGGGGAGTGTTGACTCTCATCTGCGCCCTTTGTCATTGTCGCCTGCTTTGTTAGTTTCTCATGACCCTTCCAGGCAGGCCTGGGATCTGATCCCATGTTTTCTGCTCTAAACTGAGGGTCCTTCCACACAGCCCTATAACTCAAAATATCAAGGCAGAAAATCCCACAATATCTGCTTTGAACTGAGTTATTTTAGGGCCTTTCCACACAGCTGAATAAAATCTCACATTATCTGTTTTGAACTGGGATATATGGCAGTGTGGACTCAGATAACCCAGTTCAAAGCAGATATTGTGAGATTTTCTGCCTTGATATTCTGGGTTATATGACTGTGTGGAGTCCACACTGCCACATATCCCAGTTCAAAGCAGATGTGGGATTTTATTTAGCTGTGTGAAAGGGCCCTATGATAACTATATATGTGGGCCCTTCCAGGCAGGCCCTATATCCCAAGATGTGACCCCAGGTTTTCTGTTTATCCTAGATTATGTGGCAGTGCGGACTCATATAACCCAGGGCCCTTCCACACAGCCCTATATCCCAGAACATCCAGGCAGAAAATCCCACAATATCTGCTTTGAACTGGATTATCTGAGTCCACATTCAGATAATGTTGAATATTCTGAATTGATATTCCGGGCTATAGGGCTGTGGGGAAGGGCCCTGAGGCAAGACATGAAACAAGAGCGCAGTTTTAAACCCTTAAATACTAAAACACAACCAAACAGCCAAACAGGTTTTTGTGTGTGTCAGAAGCTAAGAAACTGCAAGTCGCTTCTGGTGTGAGTGAATTGGCCGTCTGCAAGGACGATGCCGGAGGGACGCCCCCGGACAATTTTACCATCCTGTGTGAGGTTTCTCTCATATTCCCGCATGGGAAGTTAGAGCTCGACAGACAGGGAGCCTACCCGCTCCCGCCAACCTATGGGTCAACCAGTCCTACCGGCACAAGGATTTGACCCATTGCGCCACTGGGGGCTACAGCCAAACAGTTATAATGCCTTGAAAGACTTCAAGACAGTTTGCATCACCAAACAGTACCACTCTGGGTTGGTCTTAAGAACTCTCTTCTTTCAAAACCTGCCTTTACATAGACGTTTTGGCCTGGCACCCCAAAGACAACATTGTAGCCTCTAGCCCAGGCATGAGCCAACTTGGTTCCTCCAAGTGTTTTGGACTCCAACTCGCACCATTCCTAATAGCCTCAGGCCCTTTCCTTTCCCCCCTCAGCCGCGTAAGGGAGGGGTCTGAGGCTCTTAGGAATGGTGCGAGTTGGAGTCCAAAATACTTGGAGGAACCAAGTTGGCCCATACCTGGTCTACACTGTCAAATTAATGCAGTTTGACATCAATTCAAAATTGCATGCTTGTTATTATTTGATATCTCGGCTTACTTTTGCGGATTACCGCAAATTGGCATCACTTTCAGCTGATTGAATAAAATACCTCGGTGGCTTTTTCTTCAGCTATTCTGGAACATTTGGCCTGACACCCCATGGACAACAAGGCCAATTCTAGCCTCTAGCCCAGGCATGGGCCAACTTGAGCCCTCCAGGTGTTTTGGACTCCAACTTTCACCATTCCTAACAGCCTCAGGCCCTTGTATTTGGTATTTTGTTGTAAACCGCGTTGAGTCGCCAGCTAGGCTGAAAAACAGCGGTATACAAGTACAGTAAATAAATAAATTTTCCTCCTCAACTGCTAAAGGGAGGGGCCTGAGGCTGTTAGGAATTATGGGAGTTGGAGTCCAAAATATTTGGGGGAATCAAGTTTGCCCATACCTGGTCTCAGGCATGTGGGGGGGGGGGCGCGAGAAGGCCTTACTGGTACATTATTTAAACTGTTATGTTTATTTTAACTGTTATGTTTATTCATATCATGATCTGATCACCATGCTCAATATATCCCATATACAAAAGGTTTGCTAGGGTAGACCTTCTTTCACTCAGACTCAGCCCCCTCCCCACCAAACTCAGCCCCCCCCCCCAAATCAAATATCTCGGCTTACTTTTGCGGATTACCGCAAATTGGCATCACTTTCAGCTGATTGAATAAAATACCTCGGTGGCTTTTTCTTCAGCTATTCTGGAACATTTGGCCTGACACCCCATGGACAACAAGGCCAATTCTAGCCTCTAGCCCAGGCATGGGCCAACTTGAGCCCTCCAGGTGTTTTGGACTCCAACTTTCACCATTCCTAACAGCCTCAGGCCCTTTCCTTTTCCCCCTCTGCCGCTTAAACTGAGCGGAGTTGGAGTCCAAAACACCTGGAGGGCCCAAGTTGGCCCATGCCTGCTATAGATGCACCCCTTCTTTGTGCCCCTTCGTTCCCTCCCTGTCTCCTTACCGGGTCCCCCCGACGTGGGCTTCCTCATCCATTCACACAGGCTCCTCCGTTGCCCTCCTCCTCCTCCTCCTCCTCCCAGTCCTCCTCCCGGGGAGAGCTGCTCGGGCGTGGGCTGGAGGGGCGCCGCGTTGAGGGAGTGGAGCAGCCCCGCGGAAGAGGGGGCCAGACCCCCGCAAGAGGGCCCTCCCGGCGGCGGCGGGTGCGTCGGGTGCGGGTGGTAGTCTCCCGTGACGGGGTTGTAAGCCAAGCCGGCCGCTTGCCCGTGCCCGTAGCCGTTCCAGTCGTAGGCGCCCGGCGGAGGCGAGGGCCAAGGCGAGCCGGGCGAGGAGGCCGCCTGCCCCGCGTTGTCCAGCCCCATGGCGGCGGCGGCGGGGCCCACATGGTAGGCGCCGTAGTCCGCGTAAGGGGGTCCCGGGACGAAGTTCTGCGCGGCCAAGTTGAGCCCCGCGGCGTGGCGCACCGAGGAGCCCGGCGGGTACATGGCGGGCCCCTCTTTGTCCAGCAGGTAGCTCACGTACATGGCGGGAGGGGGGAGAAGGAGGACCGGGGGCGCCTCCGCATGCTGCGGCCACAAGGGGCCGGGGAGGGAGGGAGGGGCCCAGGTGGGGGGTCTCTCCAAAAGGGGGTCTCTCGCAGGGCTCCCTCCTCCTCCTTCTCTTCACCCTCCTCCTTCCCTTCCTCAAGGAGCCGGCTCCATCGGGAGGGCGCAAGGAGCAGGACCGGCCGCAGATTGAGCGCTGAAGGAATGGGCGGCCGAGCCTCGGAGGAAGGCAGGTGGCCTGGAGGGAGGAGGGAAGGGGAGGGGAGGGAGAAGAGAAAGAGGGGAGGGAGGAAAAGATACAGGGAAAGAGAAGGTGGGAGGGACGGAGGGACGGACAACCCAGCTGTTCCGGCCCTGCTCTTGAGGAGGGTTCGCCTTGGCCACGGGTGGGAGGGAGGAGGGCAAGGGATGGGCTTCCTGATTCCCCACCGCCGGGAAAGTTGAGTTGCTACTTTTTCCCTTTGAGCAGGCGCACTTTCACCCCCGAGTGCAGGTTCAAACGAGTGGGGGAAGAAGAAGAAGGAGGAGAAAGAAGAAGAGGAGGAAGACGAGGAGGAAGAGGAGGGGGAAGGAAGAGGAGGAAGAAAACTAGGAAGAAGAGGAGAATGAAGAAGAAGACGATGAAGAGGAGGAGGAGGAAGAACAAGAAGGAGGAAGAAGAGGAGGAAGCGATAGGAGGAGAATGACCAGGTTAAGTATAATAGAGGCCAAGGGATGAATTGATAATCGAAGTTTTATTAATAATAAATGAACAACTTAAATGTAGAAATTGAATCGAATTGATGAGCAGGATAGTGGGTAATAATTCATTATTATAAACCTTTAATAAAAGACTAACTATTAATATAAATAATTGAATAAATGGCATATGAATTATTAAAAAATCACTATTAATTCTTCTTATTGCTTCATTCAGCACCTTACTTGTCCTCCATTTGGCTGCTTTCCTCTCCTACTCATCTTTCCCTGCATTTTACTCAACCCATCCCTCCTCCTTACTCTTCATTCCTCCTCGTCGATCTTCCTTCATTCTTCTTCCTTCTTCCTCCCTCCAAAATCTCATTCTATCCTTCTCTCCTTCAATTAACTCTTCTGACTTCCAGCCAATCCATCTACTCCCCTCCATGCGCGCTCCCTAATTCAAGAACTCCCTTCCCTCACTTCAATCTTATTTATACTCCCTTTCTTACTTTTGCGCGTTTCTCCTTATCTAGGAAACATGTCCAGAGAGAAGGAGGACAATCTGGCTTGGTAAAAAGAGCCCATGAATGTAGTGTATATATGAGATTAATCCATATAATCCAGTTCAAAGCAGATACTCAGAAACTGGATTATGTTTCAGTGTAGAAGTCTTCTGACTGTTTTCGATTATTAAACATTGAAATTAAATGTAGAATTACATTTTAAAATCTCCCACATGAAAAGGAAAGCATCTGTTCACAACTTCTATATGACAAACATTTCTAGTCATTTACTGCATGTATTTACAGAAATAATTGTAGAATTACTTTTAAAAAAAAAAATCTCCCCCACATGAAAAGAAGTGAGCATCTGTTCGACCAACCTTTCTATATAGGGCTATTCACTTTTGGGATACCATTTTTATTTACTTTGTTTACCTGCATTGCAACAAAAACCCAGATTTTTCCCGCTAGTTGTCCCTCCTTGGCGAAGACGTGCAGCTAAATTCTTCTCCTATCCAAACACTGTAATGGATAAACTGATTTTTTATTTATTTGGGGTTTAAATTTTTCTACAGTTGCTTGTATGGCCCCATGTTTGTTTCCAGAGCATTCTCTCCTGAAGGGTTTTTCAAACCTCACTCTCACGTCTAATATTGGCAGGCCATCCTCCAGAGGGTTTTGTGAAAGTTGTTGGAAACCTATACAAGTGGGGTTTTATAATATCTATGGAAAATATTTCCACAGGGGTTGGTGAGAAATGAAACTATTGTCTTGCATTGAGCAAGGGTGAAATGTTTGCCAATTGACCTACATTGAATGGCCCTTGCCAGGTGTTCAATACAGTCTATAGAATAGCTGATTTCCATATATTATTCTATTTGAAGATAAACAAACTATGGGTTGTATATCTGGACATTTAACACAGAAAAATATAAACCCACCGCTTGCCTAGTTTGCCAAAGATCTGTCCACACTTGAGAATGCAAAAAAAAAAAAAAAAAAAAAAAAGAATGTGGCGTGCCCGCCATAAGATGTGGTTTAAACGTCCCAGGAGATAATACTTCCTGGAGAACATGCCCTCACCAGCCTGGGAAAAAAAAAAAACCTCAACAGGACAAGCTTCTACTTGGATTTCTTTGAGAGCATCCCAATCGCTGCATATTTCCAATTTCCTATTCCTGGACTCAGGCATGTATCCGGGGGGGGGGGGGGCTTGGGGGGGGGGGGGTGGGGGCGGGGGGGGGGGGGGGGGCTTGGGGGCTAGCCCCCCCCCCCCGAAATTCTCATGGTGTTCGCGAAAAGGCCTTACTGGTACATTATTTAAACTGTTATGTTTATTCATATCATGATCTGATCACCATACTCAATATATCCCATATGCATGGGGGATAATGATACAAAAGGTTTGCTAGGCTAGACCCTCTTTCACTCAGATTCAGCCCCCCCCCCGAAACTCAGCCCCCCTGAAACCTCCCCACCCCCCCCTCCCCCGAAAATTTTTTTAGCCCCCCGAGCCACCTCAGTCCCAGCCCTAGCCCCCCCCCCCCCCGAAACGAGAATCCTGGCTACGGGCCTGTGGATATGGTTTTTAATCTGTTTGATTGATATGTATTCTAGTTGCTTATACGTTTAGATTGTCTTATATTTTGTTGATATGTGTTTTATTATTAATCTGTGCGGAATTAAATGTTTGCCGATTTGTAAACTGCCTTGTGTCTCCTCCAGGTCCAGAAAGACAGGGTAGAAATGAAGTAAATACATAAATAAATAAAATTTTGACTACACATTGTATTAGATGTGTGTGTAGAGCAAGTATGGGAAAACTTCAGCCCTCCGGGTGTTTTGGACTTGAACTCCCGGCTATTAGGAATTATGGGAGTTGAAATCCAAAACAGCGGAAGGGCCGAAGTTTGCCCATGCCTGGTGTAGAGTATAGATGAGATTATATTAGATGTGTCTGTGTGTGTGGAGTATAGATGGGATTATATTGTGTGTATATCAGCTTTCGAATTGTAATTTATACCCTAACCTAATGCAAACACTGCACAGATGCGGATGGATGATTGCAAGGAAGGATTCTATACTGGTCGCTGACAGTAAACAAAGATTTGATTTGAGATTTGATCTGTCCAACCCCTCCGGCCCCTTCTTTTTTAAGGACCCAGAAGTTGACAAAACTAAGGCCCCACAAGGCCTTCCAAAGCCTATCTGTATCTGCTTGTCCAAATCCCCCAGGTATCTCCCAACCAAAGTTAAGACATGTTTTCGGCCTAATCTGTTGACTAAACTCCTGTTAAAATGTTCCAGTCGGTGGTTTGACTTTACCAGGAGGCCAGAGTCTCCTCTTCGCAGGGTCGGAAAGATAAATAGAGAGAGAGAGAGAGAGAGAGAGAGAGAGAGAGAAAGGAAGGAAGATTCGCCCTTCTTTTAAAGCACTTTACTCATTATTGACCAATTGCCAGGCTAATCCAGGATAAGGAGGAAACAAGTCGCAACACATCACCCTTGACACTCTCCCCAACTCCAAAAAAAGTGAATTGGGAACGTCAAAGGATTATCTTAATTTCTTTAGGGTTGGGGCGCGTGGCAAGGAAGCCTTCGCCCTTTATCCAAATCAAAGGGATCAAAGTATATTCAGGAGAGAGAGAGAACAATCTGTAAACTGCTGGGAGAGCCTTTGGATGCATCTACACTCTGGAATTAATGTAATTTCACACCGTGTTGTCGGAGGCATTCATGGCCGTAATCACCGGGTTGCTGTGAGTTTTCCAGGCTGTATGGCCATGTTCCAGAGGCATTCCCTCCTGATGTTTCGCCCACATTTGTGGCAGGCATCCTCAGAGATTGTGAGGTCTGTTGGAAACTAGGCAAGTGGGGTTTATATATCTGTGGAGTATCCAGGGTGGGAGAAAGAACTCTTGTCTGTTTGAGGTAGGTGTGAATGTTTCAATTGGCCACCTTGATTAGCATTTAATTGCCTAGCAGTTTCAAAGTCTGGCTTTTCACTGACTGGGGGAATCCTTTGTTGGGAGGTGATTACCTGGCCCTGATTGTTTCTTGTCTGGAATCCCCCTGTTTTTGAGTGTTGCTCTTTATTTACTGTTATGATTTTAGAGTTTTTAAATACTGGTAGCCAGATTTTGTTCATTTTCATGGTTTCTTCCTTTCTGTTGAAATTGTGTGAATGCTGCAATTGATCACCTTGATTCCGATTCAATATTTATTTATTACAGTGGTGAGGGATAAATAATATGTATAAGCAGAAAAATAACAGTAGATGCTGAAAATTAAAGTATGGTAGGTTGCATTGAATAATATGTATCTGCTGTAAACAATGTATAACAATTGTATTGAACTATGATAAAATAATACATTTTTTTTAAAAAAAGAATATTTATTTATTTAATTACTCTATTTATATCCCGCCTTCCTCTATCCCCTTGAAGGGGACTCAAGGTCGCTTTACATATGGCAACTATTTGATGCCTTTAGACAACAGACAATTAAATACGTTTAAGTTAAAATTTAAAAATTAGAATTAAAATCCACATTAAAACATAGTTATTATAATCGCTATTAAAATCACGCCATCCATCGAATAGCCTTGCAGCTTCAAAGCCTAGTTGCTTCCTGCCTGGAGGGGGAATCTTTTGTTGGGAGATGTTAGCTGGCCCTGATTGTTTTCTGCAAGGAATTCCCCTGTTCCACACTTTCACATTTACACCTGCCTCAAACAAACAAGACTTCTTTCTCCCACCCTGGATATTATTCCACAGATACATAAACCTCACTTGC